TTTAGGGGTTTTCGGGTTAAGGGAAGGAACCCGGAGAGTCTCTCCTCTCGCTGTGCGAAGTGGAAGCCTACCCTGCAGCTACGCCCTCTATTCCCAGCCGGGTGTTGAACACACATAGGGGTCTTGCCCTGAGCACTTCAGCGTGCTGCGCTGTGACCTCTATCCGAGACATCGCCTACCCAGGGTTGCTCTTTGCAAGGGAACTACGGTTACAGGAGCCTAAGTGGGGTTTAGGGTTGCAAAAAGTAAGGGGAGCTATCCCAAAAGACTCATTCTACTTCTAGGGTCACCGCCAACAGGGCTCTCCAAGACCGTCCTAAGTCCTAACCCCTAAACCCCCAAACCCTCAACCCAAAAGCCCTTAATATTCCAGCACGGGATCGTTTGGGCAACTTGCCTGCCCAAAGGTACGAACCTCATGGTGCAAGCATTGATGAACCAAAGGACGCCCCCCCTCCCCCCCACCCCCCAAACAGAAAAGTCCACAAGTTGCGAGGAGCGTGCAGAGAACCACGCAGACAAAAAGCACACCTCTTCAGGGTTTAGGGTTTAGGGTCCCTAAACCCTAAACCCGGAACCCTAAACCCTCAACCCTAAACCCCCGCCCCTAAACGCTAAACTAAACCCTAGAAGGGTTATAGCACTCTCCCCCAGCTGCCCAGGTGGTGCGGCAAGTGCACAGCGCCTTGGAGTTTCGGGGCCGGGACACAGGTGGCTCAACCGGCTTCTTGATGTTTTTAGGGTTTCGGGTTTAGGGCTCATGGTTCTTGTGGTTTAGGGCTTAGGGTTTAAGGGTTTAAGGAGATTAGGGGTTTAGGGGTTTAAGGGTTTACGGGTTGGAGGGTTTAACGGGTTTAGGTAAGGGTTTACGGAGTCCACGTCTCAGCAAGTTTGGAAATTTCATAATCAAGGCCCGTGTTTGTTTTGGAGATGCTGGTATTCTTTGGAGACTTTTTACCTTTGCCCAAAATCGTTTGTTGGCCCCAAACGAGAAACTTGTTCGTTTATAGCTGTTGAGATACCGCAAGCCGGGTTTTGCTGTGTGTGTTTTGGTATTTTAAATTCCATTCGGCAGTACATAAAAGATTAAAGCGTGAGCCAGGCAAACATGCTCGTGCTTGAGCAGATGCTTTAAACATTCCTCAGGCTTCCACGTTCTTGATGCATATGGCCTTTCTGTTGAAGACCGCCAGAGAATTGTTGGCTTGATGCGTGTCTCCACGGCCGCTGTTCTGGCACTTATTTACGTCCTCGGGAGCAATCGTGGTGACCCTAAACCCTAAGCCCTAAGCACTGTGATGACGCAGGAGGTCCTCCTGGTCCGGCAATGGGCAGCAAGCCCAGCAGGTGATGGGTTGGGGTTGACTAGGCTGGGAAGATTACCGGAAACTTTGATAGGGTTTAGAGTTTAGGGTTGTGTAGGAAAGTTCAGAGGCATGGAGTCTTTCTAAGCCATCCTGCGGAAAAGCTGGGCAGAGGTCACTTCCCAGTTTGAGCGTGTTTCCGGGGAGAAATCCATTCTATACCTAAACCCTGAACCCTCAACCCTATACCCCAAACCCTCAACCCTAAACCCTATACCGTACACCAGGGAGAAAGGAAGCTCAACCCATGCACCCAACCCTGCGTACCCAGCCTCTCCTTAAGCCTTTCACCCCTCAAACTTGAAGCACTAAAGCCCCCCTAGGGGCACCCCTTTAAGAAACGCCTGAGCCCCAACACCTAAATTCCTCAAACCCTGAATCCCTGCCCCTTTCGGCTCTTCCGAGGCTACGCCCCACCTGGCATGTCTGGATTGGGGCAGGGATTGGCAGGCAGGCTTTGGGTTGGGGTTTTGGGTTTTGGGGTTGGGGTTTGGGGTCCAGGGTTCAGGGTTTAGGGTTTGGGGTTCGGGGTTTAGGGTTTGAGGCTTTAAGAGTTCAGTGAAATTGCGGGTTTAAGGGGCCTGGGCTTGAAGTGTTAGGGTTTTTCTCGGGTTTCGAGGTCACGGGGTTTAGGCCTTTGGGAAAGAGGACTTGAGGAAGGGAGGCGTTTGTCAACGTTAGGTTCGAAATCACGCATTCTCCTCGCCGCCTCACTGGTGTCCCACCCCTCTCCTGGCCTGGCCTCTGAGCGACCACCCCCAGAGGATCCTACACCTGCGTGATAAACCCCCCCCCCCTGGCGAAAACAAAACATCCCAAACCTAAACTGCAACTCCGAAGCCCTTCGGGCCCCAACCCTACAACCCGAAACCCCCTGGGACCTAAACCCTTAACCAACCACTTCTCAAAGTCCTGATCGCTCGCCAGGCGCCTTGTCTGGCAGCCGGCCGCCTCCTGCTTCCAACTTTGGTGGCGGAGGTGGCTGTGGGGTTCATGGGTTAATGGGTTTAGGGTTTAGGGTTTAGGGTCTAGGGTCCAGGGTTTTAGGGCTTCGGGTTTAAGGGCCGCAGGGCTTAAAGTTCTCGTGAATCGCCGGGACAGACAACCCTAAAAATTTCGACCCACGCCCCAAACCCTAACGCCTAAATCCTAAGTCAAGAACCAAGTCAGAAGCCTCCGAGGGGCCTTCATGAGCTCGCTGTCCAACACCAGCGACCTTGGACAGTTGACGCTGCAGCTTGCGATGCCCAACGAGGAGGTCCCTGGCTCAAGGAGTCGAAGGGCTACGTAGCCCAAGGCAGATATTGAATAGGCAAGTTCCGTACTTGCTGGGTCTGTTTGCGTTTTCTGGGTAGAGGAAGTTCTTGAGTTCTAGGTTGGGTCGGGTGTTGGGATCTGGGGGTTCGGGGGTTGAACGTTTGTCTTTCATGAAGATGTGGTGTCCTTGCAGACACGGCAGACCCTGCACAGCAACCCTAAATCCAAAAACCTGGACCCCAAGCCCGAAACTAAACCTGAAACCCTAAACAAAGCCTTAACCGCTTAGACCTTAGACCCTTAAACTTTAAAGCCCTAGCCCTCAACCCCTGAACACGAGGACAGTGAGCTCTGTTTGGTACTTGAGTCAACCTCTGGCCCGGCTTCGGCAAGGGGTTTAGGGTTTAGGATCTTGGGTTTAGGCCCTACAGCCCAAGACTTCATTTGAGCTCTGTTCAATGGAGGTCTCTCGGCTAATAGCCTCAGAATCCTCGGGCATCGCGAGAAGGGCGGGCAGGGACCCTGACGACGAGAGACAGTTGAAGGATAAGGTTTATGAATGGGGCTTAGGGTTGGGATGTTCCGCCTTATGCTAGCAGTCCTTAATGGGGTACTATACTCCCTAGTAAGGACTGTTAGTATGCGGAAAAGTCCCAAGCTGAGGGCATCCAGGGCTTCGGGTCCCTTCCGGGGGGCTTGGGGCTCCCTTCAATTCATTTGCACAGTTTTGGCCCTCAGCTTGCTAGGGCGACCATGGGGCAAGGACGGGGAGGTTGAGTTTCGAGTGCGGTGTGTGTGTGGGCGTGTTCATTAGTGTTCATTACGGACTTCCATGATTCCTAGAGTTTTTGGCGTTCTTTGTTTCTTTGTTGTGTGTGTTTTTCGTGCTAGGGCTTCTCTTCCCAGGTCTTGTGCAAATATTGCACTGAAAACTGTGATTGAGGTTTTGGTCGGTTGCTCTGTGCAAGCCAAACAGTGACAGGGCAAGTACGCGGACCCAGATTTGCAACTCCTTGAAGCATGTGGCACGGGACTTCAGAGCATAGCCCTATAGACCCCAACAGATCACTTGCATGGTGGCCCGTCCTTCAACCAGTGTGGGGGTGGGGGGTTGCAAGGACGTCGGCCCCTAACCCCAAGCCCCTAAGGTGTGAGGCTATCGGCTGCCAGAGGTGCAGGTGGTCTGCCAGTGCTGAAGGCAAGCTGTCGTGACTTCATTGAACTACCCCAGTAAGGGCCCAACTTTTAGGCCCATCCGCAACCCCCCCGCTGAACCCCTAAACCCCTAAGCCGACAGGGCCCTAACCCTGAACCCGAAGCTCGCCCTCCATATCATCTTCTGCATTTCCGGCCTGGGTTTAGGATTCGATGCGTTGAGGGCTGTGCAGGGCTTACGGCCGTGTAGGGTTTTGGGTTCCGGGAAGGCATCGGGTTTAGTTGAGCATCTGGCGCCTCCTTGAATCCTCTCTCGGCCCCAACTAAACCCAACACACCCAAGCAACCCCAAACCCTAAGCCCCAAGCCCTACACACCCCAAACCATCCCAAGCGCCCCAAGAGCCCCCCAAGCAGGGTTTAGGGTTTAAGGTTTCGGGTTTAGGGTGTTTCGGGTTCAGGGTTAGGGTACCCCACGCACCCCAAACACCCCAAGCAACCCAACCATCTGCAGGTCTCTGGCACCGCCGTCGCCAACTCGGTGGCTTGCTACCTGATCCAGGAGCTTCATCGAACGCTGGACTCGATGTAGGGCTGAGGGTGTTAGTGTTTAGGCCGGGAACGCAAAAGGCATGAAAGCCCTACCATAGAGAGCCCCATAAGCCCGAGAAGCCTGAACGGAAGCACCCAGCCTTGAAACGCTTCGGTCTTTGGGGATGGGTCACCGGCTCGTGCCACGGTATCTTGTGCAGGACCGGCTCTACCTGATGCAGTGACACGTGTGGTGCCCTGTAGGGCATGTCTAGCTTTGGCCCTACCATGGTTTTACATGGGGGGGGTAGATGTTGTTTGGGGTCTCTGTTATAAATCGACTATTTCTTGTTCAGGGTACCGAGATAGGGCTCAGCACTTTAGATAAACTCCGGTAGAATTTCCAAACCTGAAACTCGTGTGCCAGGGGAACAAGCTCGCACCAAGCAGCAACAGCTGTAGAACCCCACTGTGCTGGTGGGATCAAAGCGTTGCAGAAAAAGTGGAACCGAAGCGGACCATGACGTGTGCGCCTCTGGTTCATCGGCTTACGTAGTTGCACCACCTTGCATCACCTTGCCCTGATCTTTCGGCACTAGCCTTGGCAGATGCAATGTCCCTGCTGTAGCTTCTTTTGGTGGCACGATGCAGTATCCGCATCTCGTTGAGTAGTGCTTGAATCACCCCAGCGCCCATGTTCGGGATGTTCTCGGTAGGGGCAGACCTATTGGCCATGCTGTGTAGCGCATCTGCTTAAGTCCAGACCTACATGCAGTCCAGACCAATCGCCCATCCCTTTCTAGCAATCCTCTCAACGAGCTTGCAAATCCAAAGCCATATCTCGCGCAGCTCAAGAGATCACCGCTTATGAGCTGTTGGGTTTAGGGTAATGACGCCGTGGTCGATGGAGGTAAGAAGAGATATTGTTATTCTTGGTTTCAATGAGTTGCTCTTTTTCTCCGCTCTTTGGTGATCGACTTTTGTATACTGCTTTGTGATATGACAAGCAGAACCCTAGACTCAAACCCGGAACCCAAAACCCTAAACCCTAAACCCTAAATCCTAAACCCTAAACCCTAAACCCTGAACCCTAAACCCTAAACCCTAAACCCTACAGCATTTTTTCCTTTCAGAGGCGTCGGTCGATCCCTCAGTCCTTTGCGGCATGTGGGCTCGCCCGAGCCATGTGGTGCTGCGGGCGCAGGAAGCTGCGACAGCCCTCCGAGGAACTCCTGGACGGTTAGGTTTTCAGGGTTTAGGGCTTAAGGTGTTGGGGTTTAGGGTTTAGGGTTTAGGGTTTAGGGTTTAGGGTTTGGGGTTTGGGGTTTAGGGTTTAGGGTTTAGGGTTTAGGGTTTAGGGTTTAGGGTTTCGGGCTTAGGGTTTAGGGTTTAGGGTTAGTGCTGAGTGTTTGGGAGCTTGTAAGACTGTGAGAACAGCTCTGCTTCTGTTTCGGTGCCCGTCCTTGGCCGGATAAATCTTAGCCTCGCTTCGCCCACTCGGTCTCCCCTTTGTGCTTACCTTTGGTGAGGAAAAGGACACGGAGGAATTGGGTCTATGTTGATATTATGAAGATGATTACGTTTCCATCGTTCTCTGCTGAGCAACCGGAAGTTGTTTCACCTAATCTAACCCCAAACCCTGAAACCCAAACCAAATCCAAACTCAGAGCCTAAACCCACTAAACCCCAAACCCTAAAGCCTAAACCCTAAACCCGAACAGGCGCGGAGAGGATCCGCTGGTTTGCGAAGCGGCGGAGGAAGCTGGACGAGTACGAGAACTACGAGAAGCCGGTGAGCGCAAAGGCATGGAAGCACCTTGAGATGCGAGGCGCGAGTTTATGGTTTGTAGGGCCGCGTTTAGGGTTTATAAGGTTTAGGATTTAGCGTTTCGGCTTAAGATCGTAGGCCTGAGTATGAAAGGCCATTTGCACCTCCAAAACCCTAAACCCTAAACCCTAAACCCTAAACCCTAAACCCTAAACCCTAAACCCTAAACCCTAAACCCTAAACCCTAAACCCTAAACCCTAAACCCTAAACCCTAAACCCTAAACCCTAAACCCCATATAGGGGCCGCAAAAACAGATCAGTCTTTCCAGGTGGCTTCTTCGAGCACAGCTTTCAGGACATGTCCCCCGGGGAAGTCTCGGACACGGTGTTCTTTGCATCTAAGCTGCTCGGATTGTCCTCGTAGCACCCCCCTTATCCCTTTTTTGTTTAAGATGCTCGCCTGGCCTAGAAGTACCCCCCCCCCCCCCGCGAGTCCTGTTGTTTAAGATGCTCGGCTGCCCTAGTCGTACCCCCTGATTCTGTTTTTTGGGGGGTCCGGGTCAGGATCCTTCATCAACCCCAGGAGGCCGAATTGCAAAAATCCCAAACAATGTATGCCCGATGCCCTAACCCCCAAAGCTTTTTTCTCCTCCTAATAAGTCTAAAGTTTAGGTCTAGAGTTTAGGGTTTATAGGGTTTAGGGTTTAGTAGGGTGTGGAGCCCAAAAAAAAACCCAGGATGGGTGTCGAGGCCACTGGGTTCTGGTCCCGGGCCTCTCTGGCAATGGGGGACTTGGCCAGCGCCTGGGTCCTTTCGGTGTCTTTGTAAGCCTATCTTTCGAGAGCACCGAGTACCTTCAGCTTTTCCCGAAAAGCGCGGCGAACAGTTTTTGAGCGGCGTGTGGGGTAGGGTTCTTTTCGGAATCTTTGTGTGCCCAGAGCACTAGGTGCCATGACGGCACGACAGCTCTCCACAGCCTGCTATGCGTTCGGTGCTGTGAAGTGGCACGACGAAGACATGGTCCGCGCCATCGCGGAGTCGGTCATCAAGCAAGCCCCGAAGCTCGGACTTTTCTTGGCAAGAGATCTTCATCAAAGAGCCGTACGCTAATCATCAACCCTACCCCCCCCCCCCTATACCAGCCCTTCAACGCGTGTTACTTGGAGAGCAGATTTTGCGTAGGAGGTGCTTGGGGGTGAGGGTAGCAGCGGCTTTTTTTGATGGATCCCCCATTATATGCGCAAGGAACATGAAGCCCGCGCTCCTGGCGGCGGTGGCGCAATCCTTTGCCCGGATGAGGGTCCGCAACCTCCCGGCCCTGCGAGCGGTGTCGCAGGCGGTGCGGAACTCCCAGCGCTTCAACGACAAGGGCCTGCATCTTGGATTTTGCCCAAGAAGCCACAAGATTTTCGAAATATTCTTAGAAGCCATTAGTTCAAGCACCTTGCTTTATGAGGTTTGTCTGGTGGTTTTTAAGGAAAATCATCTACCAGGTCCATGGTGGCCAAGAGTTTCGCCGAGCTTGAGTTCCGCTGCCCGGACTTCTTGGAAGCCTTGGACACCTGGGCCGCCGGGGCGGAGATCCGCAAGCTGGAGCCCTGCCTCGACTTGCTGCAGAGCCTGGCTGCGTTTGCCGCACTGGAGGGTTCCCTCAGATGGCCCTCCCCGAAGCCCTTTGGCCAGCTGGCTCCTTCCCTGGCGCCCGTGGCCGTTCGCGAGCTCGCAGGGTTGCTGGGGCGACGGGTGAAGGAGTTGGAGCCTTCACAGCTGCACACTGCGGCCCTGGCTATGGGAAAGCTGCGCGTGCAGGACAGCATTGGGAATGTTGGAATGTTCAAACCTAAGACCGAAATTGCAAAATATGGAGCTTGTTTAGTCGGCCTCTGTTTTCAGGGTTTAGGCGTGAGAAGAGCTTCGGCGCCCCAGTTTTCAAGGACCTGGTGGTCTTGGAGGCCTTCCAGAGAGAGATCCTGGCAGACCTGAGCCGTATGCACGCGAACTCCCTGCCGCCAGTCTTGGAGTCCTTCGCCATGTGCTACGAGGCGCTTCGGCTAAGTGGCCAGGACTCGGAAAACACATCCGTCCACCAGGAGCGGGAGCGCTTCCTCGTGCAGCTCAGCAGCCGTATGGCGCGGGAACTGAGGCTGCTGCGGCCCCAAGACGCCAGCCGCGTGTTGCAGGCCATCGACCGCCTGGGCCTCATCGATCCCAAGCTGCTGGCCACAGCCGCTGCTCTGGTCCCTCCGCGCCTGGACGCCTACACCTCGCCCGAGCTGCTGGCTCTCCTGAAAGCCTATGCATCCGCCAGCAATGCGGATGGCTTCATGGTTCCATGCTTGCGGCGGGCCCTTCTTCCTCTGCCAGGAGCTGAGGAGAGATTGCAAGAGCTGGACGACACGCAAGTGGTGCAAGCGGCCGGCGCCTTTGCGTCGCTTGGCCACGCGCCTGGCCTGGTGGCATTACTGGCCGCGTTACGGGAGCCATTGCTCCCCCGCGCCACGGGGCACAGGGCACACGGGGCACGCGGGGCGCGACGGCGCCAGGTCGATGCGACGGGTTCCGCCGGCTCTCAGCCGGCAGCGCGGCACTTGGTCCCTGCATGCCAGCTGGCCTTGGCGACTCTGGTGACAATGGAACTCCCAGATAAGCAGAGCTGGGCCACTGCGGCTGCTGCAGTTTTGCAGGGGGCCGGCAAAGAGGCCCCGAAGCATCAACATGGTGCTTCGCTTCTGGAACGCCTCACGCAGTCCATAGAAACCGCAGAGGATCTTTGGAGGTCGGCAGCCAAGCTCTCCCTCTACTCTGGCGACGAGCTGATCCTGGCTTACATGGGCTTTCCAGGACATGGTGGCCGGGCCGTTTGGTGTGAGGAGCTTTCGGCGAGGATGGCAGAGGTCAGCCTCTCGCTCTTGCCCGGCTTCCTACGCCACTCGGCCGAGGCGGAGGTGGGAGAACTGGGAGCTCCCCGCACCCCGCACACGCTCCCGTCTCTACACCCGCCACCTGCAGAGCCATCACCCTCTGAAGTGAAGGCCAGGGAGCAGGCCGAGAAGGTGCTGCTGGAGCGGCTCACCCAGCCCGACCACAAGGAGCTGCAGGAGCTGCCTCCCTTGGTCATCGTGGCCCTCTTCCGTGTCTTGGAGCTTGCAGCCCGACGCGTCGGCCATAAGCCGAAGCTGCCACTGTGGGCGCCAGCGCCGGCAGAGCCCCGCGACCCGGCGGAGTCACCGGAGTACCCCTTGCAGGTGCCTTGTCTACAGCCAGCTACGGGGCCTCAGGGATTTCGAAGAATCACTCAGCCATACTCAGCTGAGAAGAAGGAATTTCGGCTTCTCGTGTCGGTTTTCTGTCCAGGGTGTTGCGCATGGAAAGGTCATCCACCGTGCAACCGCCCCGCTTCTGCTGCGCCTGGCAGTGCTGGCGCAGGCCAGGCCAAGCCTCAAGGGAACATCCAGACCTCATGCTGCAATGCAACCCTCAACTCCACATTTTGTGCCCCGCCATAAACTCCCTTGGGCCCAACCTTAGACACTGAACCTTCCACCAAGCACCTCCCCTTAAACACCAAACCGCGGCACTTGACCCCCGGGCACAGGACCAGCAACTCACCGCCAAGGCCCAATGGTTGTTGGTCACTTGTGGGGTCGGGCTTCCACTCCCGTCCTTCTGATTCTTGTGGTTCGAAAGATCAGTGCTCCCCCCAACTAGTTCATGGGTGTTATGGTATGGTATTATGGTGGAGATCCTTTACAGCCGAAAGGTACTGCCGGTTCAGAGCTAGTTGTGCAATGGCTTCTTCTCAGGCAGTAAACAGAAGGTCTCGGCCTTCGCAAGGGAGAGGTTCTCAACCATTCCGCCATCTCTCGTATCTGTTACGTAGTGTGTTTATGTATAAATTCGGGGTTGTATGCATATCTCACCGGAATCTTAGACCTATGATTGTCATTCTGGAATCCTTATGGTTTTGAGGGGACTATGGCTTTTCTGAGGTCTGCGTGCGCATTCTGCAGAGCATGAAGGCACAGCCACCCTCCAGTGTGGCTTTCTTGCTTCCTTGTCGGGTTTAGGGTTTAGGGTTTAGGGTTTAGGGTTTAGGGTTTAGGGTTTAGGGTAGGGTTATTCCATCAACATCTCCAGCAGGAGCAGACTGCGAGTTTAGGTACAGGGCCCGAAGTGCAACTGAGCAGACTGGTGTGTTTTGCAAAGGCGACTCGCCAAGTTGCTGCGGTGATCACAAGAGATCGTATAAGTAATGAATGCCTACGGTCCAATGAAGTAGTAAACCTGCTACCAGGTTCCGAAAGTTCAGTCCTTGCTAGCAGACCCAACTTTCTGCGCTGACATCCATTTTTACGCTGTTCTGGGAAAATTTCGGGAAGATTTTCAAGGCTTCAGCTAAGGGATTCTTGGAGAAAATGTAGGGATTTGTGGTTCTCCTCAAGGGGATTCCCATGGTGGGCACGGGGTTGAGAAACCCCAGAAGCCCTAAACCCTAAACCCTAAACCCTAAACCCTAAACCCTAAACCCTAAACCGGTGTGCCGGCTCAAGCTCAACCATGGGTTGGCCCAGGACCCAAAAAGCCCTACCTTTGCAAGGCAGCAAGATCGGAGGCAATACTCTAGACCCCACGCCGATCGATCTATCCAAATGCACATGTATGCATATATATGTTCTCAGGCAACCACACAGGCAATATGTACATGTCTATATCTATAAATATTAATAATTATTAATATATGTATATATATATATATATATGTGTTTATTTATATTCATATTTATATTTATATTTATATTTATACATCTATTCAGACACACACACACACACACACGGTTTTGGGGTTCTCCCCAAGAGCTCTTCAACCAGCCACCCCCCAGCTCCAACCCAAGTCTCCAACCTCCCTTTCCCATCCTTGGGCCCATGTCTGTCCGCAAGACGAAGTCAGTGGGGGCGGGTCTGGGGGTGACTCGTCAAGAAGACATGGCTGAGACCCTTCAGGTGCCCTAAACTCCGTTCTGAGCCCTATCCGTAGAAAGCCCCTACACTCCTAAGCCTCTAAGCCTCTAAGCCTCTAAGCTTCTAAGCCTCTAAGCCTCTAAGCCTCTAAGCCTCTAAGCCTCTAAGCCTCTAAGCCTCTAAGCCTCTAAGCCTCTAAGCCTCCAAGCCTCTAAGCCCTAAACCCTGAATTTGAGACCCCCGCAAGTCTTTCCTTAAGGTCCACGGGGGATGCTGGGGCACAGCCCCACACCGCGACCACCCACAGCTCTTCTGGGCCCAGGCCAGGGCAACTTTTTTGCCTCCCTTCCCAGGGAACTAGTGCGCGATTATATAATACAGACATGAGTGCATCCGCCGCCCTTGAAAGCCTGTAGCCCTCAATCCCCCCAAAACGAAGTCCATCTCACCTCAGCCAGCTTCCTCCAGGTGTCTGCGGCTCTTTTGATCTTGTGCCCTCTGGCGGCCACCATCTGGACACCCTGGCGCAATGGGTGTGGGCTCGGAGGCACGTGCTCTTTCGGTGTGCAGGCCGGCTGGCAAAGGCCTCCTGTCGTAGGCTGTAGGGCTTGCAGGGATGCGTTTTACTGATTATTTTGCGGTTGTGGGTTGTAGGGGGCTTCGGGTGCTAGATCGGACTTCGTAGCGCCCCCTCGCAGCTCTCGATGGCCATGGCCGTGCCCCTGAGCATGGCGAGTCTGGGCTGATTTGGGGGGGTGTTCCGAGAACCTGAGACCCATAAACCCTGAACCCTGAACCCTGAACCCTAAACCCTAAACCCTAAACCTAAATTCTTACAAGCCCTAAGCCCACAGAGGAACCACCTGGGCCATGCAGTTGCGCGGTGCTGGATTCCTTTGCTGCAGAAGCTGGACAGGCGAGGGGCTTTTGGCCAGCTAAGGCCTTCATGGGGTTTAGGGCTTAGGACCTATGTTTTGGGGGTTTGGGGTTCAGCGGTTTAGGTACTTGTTTTTTTGGATTCAGGGGGTTTAGGGTGTGGCGGGGCGTGGCTTTTGGACTGGCAAGTACTCTCAATTTCGCAGCTGCTTCTCCTTTCCTGCTCGGGCCAGAACCACCATCGCCCTGGGATGCGTGGTTGGCGCCTGGGCCCTCTCCCAAGACGCCTTATTCACAACGGGGTCTGCGTCTCGGCTAATCCAGGGGTTCGGAAAATTTACAAATATTATTCCTTATGGTCCCTCTTTAATTATAGTAGTCCCCAAAGCCCTATTCTAACCATACAGGGCCCTATAATGCGCACCTCATCCCCACGACCGCTGAGGCCCCCACCCCCCCCCATTAGCGAAAGAGCTTTTCTGGGCCTTTGGGTTCAGAGGGTCCAGGGCCCAAAGCCCTAAAAAGGCCCTAGGGTTTAAGGCAACTTGTTTTGTCACGGGCTTCGTGGCCTGTTTGGCCCAAAGACAGTCAAGGCTTTACTGACCGCGACTGTCATCATCATGCAGCTTGAATGCAGACAGAGGGACGGAGCACTTAACCCTAAAAACCCTAAACCCTATACTTGGGCTTCTACGCACAAACTGAGCACACCCCTCCTGCACCCCGGAACCCTAAGACCCCTCAGCCCCAAACCCAACCTTATAACTCTCAAAAACCTCGAAACCTCGAAACCTCCCCCAAGTCCTCAAGTTGACATCCAGGATGTGGTTTGGCAGCCCGCGCTACCGCGACAGCGAAGTCCTGGCTTCGAGCCTGGTGGCTGCGTGCCGCTGGGCCTCGGCGTTTCGGAGGGTTTCGGGTCCAGGATTTGGAGGGTCCAGGGTTTGGTCCAGGGTCTGGAGTAGTAGAAGGGTTCAAGGAATATAGGCTTTCAGAAGTTTGCGTTAGGAGTGTCTAGGCCTGAGGATGAGCCCGAATCTTGCGGTTCTCTTGCAGCTAAGCAAGCTTGCACACTGGAAGCGGGGTGGGATAGAAGTGCATCGCCCAGGCATTCTCTATGGGCTCCTACCCATGGTGTTCTACCGAGAAACGCTGGACCGTTGTGCTGCGGCTCTGCCGCTCGTGACAGTAATCTCTGTGAATGTCTTCTCGCAGCGCAACCCCAAGAACCCTACTCACTCCATAAGGCATTCATCCCCAACCCCCTAAACCCTAAGAAGCCCTCAACACCCTCAAAGAGGATCACTGCCTATGGCCTGCTGCGGGCGCCATCCTTTTTGGCTTCGCGCTCTTCCAGTTTGATCCACTGGGCTTCTTGCGCTTTGAGAGGGTTTGATGTTCAGGATTTCGGGGAGTTGAGGGCAATTCAGGGTTTAGGGTTTAGGGCTTCGGGTTTAGGGCTTAGGGCTTAGGGTTTAGGGTTTAGGGTTTAGGGTTTAGGGTTAAGGGTTAAGGGGGGAGGAGGACGTTTGGCTTAGGAGAGGGTGCGGTTCAGGGCCTAACCCCTCAACCCCACATCCCCAAGGCCGAAACCCTACAGACCCTAATGGCTGTAGATGTGTTGTAGGAAATGTCCAGGCTTCGAAGCAAATTCGAAATACGCCATTTTCTGCCAAGTTCGAGATCACTGTTCCCAACACTTTTAACCCTAAGCCTTGTAGGCTTTTCGAGTTTAGGGTTTATAGCCCTAAACCCTAAACCCTAAACCCCAAACCCCAAGCCCCAAAACCCCAAACCCCAAACTCCAAAGCCATTGCCTGAAAGAAAGGCGTTTGGACGGATTCCGTCTGGCACCTCGTCCTGATCCCCTACGCCCACTTCTGCTCGCTGTCGGCTGTGCGGATGGACCAGCGGCTGTATGCGCAGTGCCTGACCACCTAGGGCTCCTAAACCCTAAACCCTAAACCCTAAACCCGAAACCCGGAACCCTAAACCCTAAACCCTAAACCCTAAACCCTAAACCCGAAACCCGAAACCCTAAACCCTAAACCCTAAATTCCCACCCGGCGCGCCTAGGCCGTACCCACCCTTTTCTAGGGTGCCTGGACCCAGAAGATACAGTGATGGACACCTTTACTGGATGGACAATGGGTGGAGCCATTGGAGAAGCCTGGCCATCAGGCCACAGAGTGGCGCAGACGACAAAAAGTCCACCATGTGAACCCCCTGGGCCCCCCTCTGGAGGCCCCCTGGACCCTGACCCGACAATCCTGAAATCTAGGGTCTGCCACGGGGGGTACCCCTTCCAGAGCCAACAACCCCCTTTTCCTTCGCGCCCTGGTCCCAGCTTCTGGCCCCTCCTGTGACCCCCCGCCCCGCTACCTTCACTACACCTTTCCCGTGGAAATTAAGGGCGACAGCCCTAAACCCTAAAAGGCAGCGGTTTGGGTGGTGGCCTGTGAAAGCTCACAGCGGGTGGGGAGAAAGAACCCAGCACCCATGAAATTGTTGGATTACATTGACAACAGATGCCTTCGCGTGACATGCCGCCCCCCCCCCCACACCCCCTGGGTGTGTAGGGATGCCATTTACACATGGCACTTACTGCCGCTGCGCGGCGAGACGCCCTAAACCCTAAACCCTAAACCCTAAACCCTAAACCCTAAACCCTAAACCCTAAACCCTAAACCCTAAAGCCTAAACCCTAAACCCTAAACCCTAAACCCTAAACCCTAAACCCTAAACCCTAAGCCCTAAGCCCTAAGCCCTAAACCCTAAACCCTAAACCCTAAGCCCTAAACCCTAAACCCCAAACCCCAAATTTACGTTTTCGAAGTTAGGTTTCGGGAATAGGGCACATTTAGCGTAGGGTTTCGGGTTGAGCCAGGAGAATCAACTCAGTCCCTCTTCATATTTGCATTATCCTGCGAAAGCTGTTTGGAGGCCAGGCCACTTTTCCTTGCGCCAAAAAGGCGGCTGGTTGCGTGGAGCGTGGAAAAAGGGGGTTTAGGCTTTAGGTTTGGGGATGTAGGCTACGTATGCTTGATGGCGCCGGGTGAACATGAATTAAGCCCTTGATGCCCCGAAACTCTCTCGAATCAGTCCGGCAGCCCTAGACATCTAAATCAGCCCTTAAAGCCTCTAAGCCCTAAAGCCCTATGCCACCCAAACCCCAGATGCTCTCAAGCCTAACCTGACAACCCTCCCTGCCACATTGAAGCAGAAGGCCATGGGCCAGAGCCCGCCTCCGCCCCTGGTGGCCAGCGCGGGGCTCAGGGACCTAAGCCCCGGAACCCTATACCCTAACTGTTGAACGCCCTTCCTTTGCAGGTTCTGTCAGGTAGCCAGCAGCAACGCGTAACAGATGTCAGGTCTTTCCTTTGCCTCAGCAAAGGACGGGAGTTCTGGGACGGGGAATTGCGCACTCTACTCGCTTCTACCTCTCAGCCTGCTCTGTCACGCCAGCACCAACCCTAAACCTCTCAATCCCCCTCCCCACCCACCCAAACCCTAAAGCCCGAATGAAGCCCTCGTCCTCTCATTTATTTTTGAACTCCCCCTTCAAGCCGACCGTCCCACTCCAGGCTCAGGCAACGAACAGGGGCCTCGGGCTTTGAGTTCCGTAGCTCGATTTAGAGCTGCTTGACTTGGGGGGCGTCCTGATCTTCAGAACCCGTAGCTTCAGAACATGGAGCCGGCGAGATCAGGGACTTCGGCGCAGCTCGAGCTGCCTGGCGAACGCCGACGTGTGACTGAAGGTGAAAGCGGTGGATTGAGCAATTCTCCACCCAAGCAGGTTTCTTCGGTCGCTTCGTTTCAGGAGAACAGGCCAGTGAAGCGACTCTGCGGCTCAGTTTTTTGCGGCCAGTCCACCCGTGTGCAGCCGACCGGAGGGGTTGGAGGGTTTGTAGCCGAGTTTGCGTTCTTTCCAGTAGGGCCCTCAAGTGCGACACAGCCTCATGGCCCTCATGGCAAGCTGGCAAATGTGGTCGAAGTCCAGCTGAAGCGATACTTGCTGGATCGGTGCAGCGATGGAAAATCCGCCTCGCGGCGTTTCTTGGAGAGCCTGGCTGCGATGTCCAGCCTCCTCCTGGCGATTCCTCTCTGCACCTTCGTCTTGTGTGGAACCCTGCCACTGGCATCACCAGGTGATGGGTTCTGGGCCAATTGGGCCTTTAACTTTCTTGCCCACCCAATTCTCAACTATGTCATGGCAAGAGGCCAGCTTGCAGTGATGGCGCGGGCGTTTAGCCAAGAGGACCGCAGAAGGATCCGTTGGATCAACCGCCTTGTGCCCTTGGTTGACCCAGCGCTGTGCCTTTTGCTTCACCTGCTCCTGTCCTTAGCCGACGTGTACCCAATTCCTGCAGCGCCAGTCTTGTCCTGCATCCCTGCGTTGATTGGCTCCATGGTCTGTTACCTGCGGATGCTACCGAGGGATCTCCTCACTCCTGAGGCACGATGCTTTGTCATAGTTGGGTACCATTTTACATTTATACGGGTACTTAAACCCTATAAGGAAGAATAAATTAAATTGTTTACGATTATCCCAACCATGAACTAGGATCCTTCATGAAGTTCACCTTCGTGAACTGGGGATTCTGGGTGGCTCAATTCGCAACGATGCTGCTCTGGGTCGCTCGCTTCCCCTTGATGCCTGAGCAGCTTGAACACCCCACTGGCATCCCTTCTTCCCTCTTTTTGGAAGGGCTTGGGCTCCCTTTGCCAAAGCCTCCCCACCAAGAACAAAAGATAAAGGCCGCCCATGTTTAGTGGGTTTCATCCGCCGGGGCAGCCCAGGCACTGGCAAGCCATGAGCACACTGGGAAACGGGGTCTTGGTCTTCTTTGCCGGATGGCTCGCGCAGAAGATTGCCGACCGCTTTGGTGTACCAAAGCCTCTTCGCTGCATGCGAGCTATAGCCCAGTCTTCGTATTCTCGTTTAACCCCTACATAATCCAACCCCCCTTGTGTCCACCAGACCCCCCCTCCCCCTCCACGGCCCCCCCCCCGCCCACTCCCATCGTGCCCACCTCTTTACAGGGCTCCAATGCATGCCCAGAGCGCGGCCCCTGCATTGTCCAACGCAGAAAACCCCAACGCGCACCCCCTGTCCCGCCCACCTTACAGGTCTCCAATGCATGCCAAGCCCTCCCCGCCCTTCCCATGCATGCTTCCCGCCTTTCTCGCCCTTCCCACCGCCGCAGGCTGCTTGCTTGAAGTAGGACCCTGTTACAGGGCTCCAATGCACGCCCACACCCTCCCCGCCCTGTAATGTACGAAGCTGAACCCCCAAGCAGCCCCAGCATCAAAAAACTCCCTAAAAGAGAAGCCACATAAGTCACATGAGGGGATAGGGGGATTCTACATAGACCGCAAGGTACTGAACCTTTCCTGGGCCCCCCAAACCCAAATCCCATGAGGGGTTCAGGGTTTAGGGTTTAGGGTTCTAGGGCTACGCTTTGGTTATACGTCATTTTTTTTTCTCTCTCTCTCTCTATATATATATATATATACTAAGGTATATTTTTTTCAGAATTATATATATATGCTCGCCCCCCCCCCATGATCCACACATTTGGCGGGGGGACTCCAGACTCCAGATTTCCAGAAAAAATCTGGAGTACCCGGGCCCCGGACTCCAGACTCCAGATTTCCAGAAAAAATCTGGAGTACCCCCAGACTCCAGACTCCAGATTTCCGTACCCCCAGACTCCAGACTCCAGATTTCCAGAAAAAATCTGGAGTACCTCCAGACTCCAGACTCCAGATTTCCAAAAAAATCTGGAGTACCGGGACTCTGGACTCCAGATTCTGGAGTCTGTAATCTGGAGTCTGGGGCCGCGAGTACTCCAGATTTTTTCTGGAAATCTGGAGTCTGGAGTCCGGGGCCCGGGTACTCCAGATTTTTTCTGGAAATCTGGAGTCTGGAGTCCGGGGCCCGGGTACTCCAGATTTTTTCTGGAAATCTGGAGTCTGGAGTCCGGGGCCCGGGTACTCCAGATTTTTTCTGGAAATCTGGAGTCTGGAGTCCGGGGCCCGGGTACTCCAGATTTTTTCTGGAAATCTGGAGTCTGGAGTCCGGGGCCCGGGTACTCCAGATTTTTTCTGGAAATCTGGAGTCTGGAGTCCGGGGCCCGGGTACTCCAGATTTTTTCTGGAAATCTGGAGTCTGGAGTCCGGGGCCCGGGTACTCAAGATTTTTTCTGGAAATCTGGAGTCTGGAGTCCGGGGCGCGGGTACTCCAGATTTTTTCAGGAAATCTGGAGTCTGGAGTCCGGGGCCCGGGTACTCCAGATTTTTTCTGGAAATCTGGAGTCTGGAGTCCGGGGCCCGGGTACTCCAGATTTTTTCTGGAAATCTAGTGTTTAGGGTTTAGTGTGTAGTGTTTTGTGTTTAGGGTTGAGTGTTAAGTTTAGGTTTTGGGGTTTAGGGTCAAGCGGCTCGGCTAAAACCCAAATAAAACCCTAAACTCTGAAATCGGCGGGTTTTTTGTTTCAGGTTTAGATTTAGTAGGGCTCGAGGTTCTGGCCTTGGGGTTTACTGTTTAGGGTTTAGGGTTTAGTGTCTAATGTTTAGGGTTTGGTTTGAAATGTTTAAGGTTTAGTTTTTGGGTTAGGTGCTTAAGTGTTTAGGGTTTCGTGCTAAGTGTTTGGGGTGTGTGCTAAGGGCTTAGTGTTAAGTTTTTAGGGTTAGTGTTTAGGGTTTAGTGTTGAGGGTTTCGGGTTTGGGTTTTAGGTTAAGGGTTTTAAGGATTTTTACAAATTTAAATGATCTGGGGAAGGCACCGGGGCTGCCCCAGACCATTGACAACTTAAAAAATCCTCCTGTTTAGGCTTTAGGGTTTAGTGTGTAGGGTTTAGTGTGTCATGGTTAGGGTTTAGTTTGTAGGGTGTAGTGTTTAAGTGTCTAGGGTTTAGTGTTTAGTAAGGGTTTAGTGCTTAAGTGTTTAGGGTTTCGTGTTCAGTGTTTGGGGTTCGTGCTAAGGGCGTAGTGTTCAGCTTTTAGGGTTAGTGTTTACGCTGGTGTTTAGGGTTCAGTGCTAAGGGTTTCGGCTTTTTTTGGGTTAAGGGTCTAGTGTGTAGGGTTTAGTGTGTAATGTTTAGGGTTTAGTTTGTAGGGGTGCTTGGGTGTTTAGGGTTTCCTGTTAAGTGTTTGGGGTTTGTGCCAAGGGCTTAGTGTTAAGTGTTTAGGGTTAGTGTTTAGGGTCTGGTGCTGAGTGTTTAGGGTTTAATAGTGCTTAAGTGTTAGGGTTTCGTGTCAAGTGTTTGGGGTTTGTGGGCCTAGTGTTAAGTTTTTAGGGTTACTGTTTAGGGTCTAGTGCTGAGTGTTTAGGGTTTAGTGTTAAGGGTTTCGGGTTTGGTTTTTTGGATTTAGGGTTTTAAGGATGTTTACTAGTGTTCAGGGTTTAGTGTGTAGGGTTTAGTGTGTAATGTTCAGGGTTTAGTTTTTAGGGTGTAGTGTTTGAGTGTTTAGGGTTTCGTGTTTAGGGTCTAGTGCTTAAGTGTTTAGGGTTTCATGTTAAGTGCTTGGGGTTTGTGCTAAGGGCTTAGTGTTAAGTTTTTGGGTTAGTGTTTAGGGTCTGGTGCTGAGTGTTTAGGGTTTAGAGCTAAGGGTTCCGGGGTTGGATTTTAGGGTTAAGGGGTTTGAGGGTTTTTGCAAGTTTACATGATCTGGGGAAGGCACTGGGGCTTCCCCAGAATCTTATAAAAATCTTTAAGCTTCTGTTTAAGCATTCTCAGGATTATGAAGGTTTTAAGCCGTTTAAGCCTTTTAAAGACCTGAAATTGCTTACGTATTTAAGTGGCTGCCCTTTGCGGATTTTAGAGATTGTTGAAGTTGCCAATGGTCTGGAGAAGCCCCGGTGCCTTCCCCAGACAATATATATTTTTTAAAATTCGTAAAACCCTGAAATTCTTACAGTTGTAAATGGCTGTCCTTTTAAAGTTTAAAGATTTTAGGATGTTCAATTCTAAAATCCGTAACTTCCTTAATTTTAAACGGCTGCCCGTTTTAAATTTTAAAGAATTTTAGACTTTTAAGGGATAAACGTTTCGAGGTTGTTAAGGGCTTTAAAGCCTTTTAAGATCCTTTAAATCTTGAAAATTTTGAAAGGCTTTAAATACCTTAAAGCCCTTCAAATTTGAAAAGGGCTGCCCCTTTTAAGGATCTTTAAACTTGCAAATGGTCTGGGGAAGCCCCGGTGCCTTCCACAGATCATCTAAATTTTTACAAACCCCTAAAACCTAAAACCCTTAAAAGCCTTAAGCTTCTAAATGGCTACCCTTCTAAAATTTTATAGAGCCGCAAAACACAAGTTTCAGAAGCAAAATGCACATAAAAAAACACTAGTGTTTTTATAGGATAATATATTAGAGCTTTTTGTATTCCAGTGCAGTTTTTACTGCATTTTTCCGGTGAAAAAACAGAAAATCAGACAAAGACGAAGACAGGAAAACCATAGGTGTGGATCATGGGGGGGGGGGGCTGACCATATATATATATATATATATTTTTTTTCTAATGTATAATTTTGTTAAATTATATAAGACAAAGGTATCTGCTGGTCGAAGTGAACCTTGCGGCATTCTTCTTGGGCCTCTTCTTCTCGGCGAGCCTGATGTCCACCGCGAAGAGCCTGAGAGTCTTGGTAGCCCAGTGGTAGGGTTTAGGGTTTAGGGTTTAGGGTTTAGGGTTTGGGTTTAGGGTTTAGGGTTTACCCTTTTTTTTGGTTCTGGGTTCCCTTAAATTAAAAAGTAACCAACCAAAAAAGGGTGCCCTTATGACAATATGGCTACTGGGCTACTAAGGAGTCGTCTTGCTCATCACTCTGCTGGACGCAGGCTCCCTTTGAGCCAAAACAGGGCTTAGGGTTTAGGGTTGCAGGGTGTAGGGTTGAGGGGTTTATGGTTTTCGGGTTTAGGGTTTAGCGTTTAGGGTGCCAAAGCAATAAACCCTGTACCGTGCATAAACCCTAAGCCCTAAACCCTAAACCCTGAACCCTGCATAGGAAGTATTGGCCTGTAGGAGTTGGGGTTGCAGAACTGCGAAGATTCTTCCTGCCAGGTAAAGCCGTCGTCCTGAGTGCGAAGCTACTTTGGGAGTTGATCCAGGCTGAGCCAAGCAGTGGACGGCGTAAGGAGTGCAGGGTTTTATAGAACTTAAGGCTTAGTTAAGTACTTTGCGGGCGGGGGGGGGGGGGGTTGAAGGTGCAGTCAGATTTGATGCTCAGGGTTGTTGGGCATTGCGTGCACCCCGAACCAATGGTCCGTTTTCTCCTTAAAAAAATGGGGGCGAGCATCGGCCTGTGTGGAAGTTTAAGGGCTTAGGGTTTAGGGTTTAGGGTTAAGGGTTTGGGGTTTAGGGTTTAGGGTTTAGGGTTTAGGCCCTCCCACCCGGCTTCGATCCGCATGTGAGACCATCAATCCCTGGTTGCTGTGACACGGAAATCCCTGTAATCCTTCTTGGAAACCCTCCAGAAGGTCGGTAGGCTCCCAGGGAAACGCCAAACCCTCCCCCTGCACCCCTCATAGCCTTGTTGTTAAGGGAGGGGGGTTCAAGGGAGGCCTGAACCCTGCCCTAAGAACCCCATAATACCCCTAAAAAGACCTTGGCCTTTGAGAGGCCTGCCCAGCCGAAGATTGCCTCTATCGGTCTTGCAGCACGCTGGATCCATCAGACATTGGCGTCTCCGAAGCCGAGGCCACGAGGGTAACGCACGAGCCTACGCAGGTCGGAAGAAATACTGATCATATTCCCTCATGGTCCCTTTGAATTATATTATAAGTACCCTTAAAACCCTATCCTAATTCTTCAGGCCCCTTTTGTTTCCCCACATTCCCCCCTTCTACTCTCTATAGGGCTGGATTTGAAAAATCCCGTGAACAAAACCTATCTCATGGCGAAACTGGCACCTGCCGTGGAGCCGCAGCGGCCACAATAGAATCAAGAGAAAGCTCTTGTCGAACAAGGGCTCGTTCGACAAAAGCCCTGCCAAACTCCCAGTCTGAAACCCAAAAACCCTAAAGCCCTTAACTTCTAAAACTCCTAAACTCAAAAGCCCTAAATCCTAGAGCGCAGGGAAAGCGCCGGCATGTAAACCTCGGACTTACGCTCTTCCTAAACCTTATCGTCCTAAATGCCCTTGCCAACCCAGAAGCCCGAAAAGCCCTGCAAGGCAGCACCAACATGTTGCTCCACAATCCGCGCGGCCATAGGGGCTCTCGTGCAGAAAGTGGCGGCCGCACGAAGCTGGGAATCAGCAGTTTAGGGTATTTATAAGGGTGTAGGGCTTCTAGGCTTCAGCAGCATCGCATCGCAGCGAGAAGTAGCAAGTAGTGGGAGTAGTATATGCAGAAGGACGCCTGAAGGCTCCAACCCTGAAATGTGGGTTCTTCAGGGGGGTTGCTACAGAGTCTGCCCCCGAAATCCCCCAGGGGGCCCTTTTCTAAACAGAAAAGCAGGGCCCCATGCACATGAGAGCCCTACTTACAAACAGCCATCACAGCCCGAGAAGTCCGAGGAAGTGTTGGGCGGCGGCTGCGGGGCCTCTTGCAGCAGATCGAAAGCCAGACGCAGTCCGAGATGAGCAGCAGCGACATCAGCCCTGGTAATGCCCAGCTCTTGAAGGTCCTGACGCACTCCTGGGTAGCGTTGGCCGTGATGGAACTCTGCGAGGTCTTGGCTCCAATTTTTTACATGATGCTGGCGATGCTTCTCCATTCCGACTTTGCACAGAACCGCGCCTTCTTCCGGCAATTCCGGCAGGAGACCCCGGCGCAGTTCCACGACGGCATGGTGAATAATACAATCGCAGTGGCCATCGAGGTTATCGTGCAACTCGGCATGCAGACCTGGCTACTCCGCATGTTCGGGATCAACTTGTTTGAGTTTACGGGCGCCATCCTCCGCCTTGACTACACCTGCTACGTCTTTGGTATGTCCTGCTGCTGCATCGTCTGGCTCGCGGTCACCATCGAACACTTTGGCACTTGGGGCATCCTGGAGACACTCAGCTCCTGACGTCCGCTGAGATGGTGTAGTTAAGGTGTAGGGTTTGGGGTATTTAGAAATTCAGAGAAGCTGAAATTGTGAGTGTTCTCACATGGCGAGAATGTCACCCCAGTGACTTCCACACTCTTCCGTCTTCCGGAGATGGCCATGTACAGCCGGTCCTCTCTTGTTTCGTTCCATTGCTGGGGCTCCTATGCAGTCTCATATACCAATGCAGCAGTTTCGTGCCTCAATCAACTCATAGAGGCACTCTGTTCCTGCGGCACAGGGCATTCTCCCAAGCGTGGTTTTTCCCTGAGCCGGTGAAGCATCGAGATTGGTGTTGTGGAGTCTGAAATGATTGGCGGTGTCACGCTGTGTTTCCTGCAGGGTCGTATGTAAAGTAGCCCAAAATACTCATTCTGCGTCTAGACAGGCCCCCTATGGTATGCGGGTCTTCGGGTTTTAGGCTTGAGAAGGTGGCATCTCCTCATCTGCATTTTCAGTAGGAGAAAGAGCCCCCGCCCCCCAACCCCCGCCCCACCTAGTTGTATCTGGTTGCTTTCGATTTTTTTGCAGCTTTTCTCGTGAGTTTTTTTGAGTCAGTTTCCAATTCCAATCAGGGGGGCACACACGCCCTGATTCCTGAATAGTGAAGGCTTTGGGTTCTTCAGGTATGAACCCCACACTGCTCTCTTTCAAGCTTTCCCCGGCTCGCACGAACGACGCGCAGAAGTGGAGAGCCCAGCATGAAACATTATAGGGTTTAGGGTTTAGGGTTTAGGGTTTAGGAAGGCATCTGATCCTTGCAACCCTACACCCCGAAGCCTTCAAACCGTCAAGCCCTGAAGCCCGAAAGCCCTTGTAGCCCCCAGCCCCAAAGTTAGAAAAGCCTTCAGGCCCCTCTTACCCCAGTGAAACCCGAAACCCTAACCCTAACCTTAAAATCCTAAACCCTAAACTACCCTAAACCCTAAACCCTAAACCCTAAACCCTAAACCCTAAACCCTAAACCCTAAACCCTAAACCCTAAACCCTAAACCCTAAACCCTAAACCCTAAACATTAAACCCTAAACCCTAAACCTAAACCATCCCAGGCCTCGCGAAGGCCTTGGGCACCTTGACCCCTGAGGAGCTCTTGCCGGCCTTGAGGTGCGAACCCTTCTGAGCTTTCTGTCAGTGCCATGGGGATAGTAGGGTTCAGGGTTTAGGGTTTAGGGTTTTGGGGTGGGAAGAATTTATAATAGTATTCCCTTATGGTCCTTCTATGTTAATGCTCGAATGACCCCCAAGACCCCATTCTAATTTTTCAGGCCCCTTTGTAGGCCCCCCCCCCCCCCCCCTGACTCTGTAGGCGTTTCGATTTCAGGGCCCGACAAGCCTAACCCCCAAACCCCAAACCCTAACCTAAAACCTAAGCCCTGCCATTCAGGACTCTCACTGCAAAGAGCTTGAAGGCGTCTGGAGGTGAGGGGACTGCCTGTGAGTTTCTGCCCCGCTGTACCGTTTCTTCACTAGTGGCGCGATGAGGGTTCATGGCAAGTACAACAGCAGCGTGTGCTTTCAAGATCCCGATGAGCGGAAGTCGACGGCGTGAGTGTTGCCGTATCGTAAAACGCAGTTGTCTTCCGGCGGCTCTCAGGTTCAACCTGGTTGTATAGTCTCCACAGGACAAGCATCCTTGCTCGAGTGGTCTCTTGCAAGCATGGCGTTCCGGTCGCTGCTGTTGACCCTTGCTGCCGCACTGCCCATCTCTGACGCCGGTGCCGCCTGCGCCACTGCATGGGTCCAATGTGGCGGCACTGGCTGGGCCGGTCCGACATGCTGCCCTTCTGGCTTCAGCTGCTCGCAGATGAACTCCTGGTACTCGCAGTGCGTGCCTAAGGGTTCCATAGCACCGCCAGCGCAGCCCAAGCCCGTGGCAGAGGATGAGTGCTACCACATGTTCAGTGAGCTCAGCTTCAACACGCTGGTTCAGTCGTTCCCCAGCAATCCTGACAGTGAAGCCACGGCCTACGTGGATTGCAAGCTCTGCAGCCACAGCGGCATGCATTGCACTGCGAATGTCCTTGGCGGTCGGACACAGCTCATCGCGTCGCACATCCACCTGGCCTCTGACGGGGACGGCGTCAACGGCTCGGGCCCCCCAGTGATCAACTTCTGCGGCGAGAATGGCCCTGGCTTCATTGCGGACGGGAGCAAGTACAAGACGCCCTGCGCCCATTATGCCAACCGTGCCGCTTTGATGTCTGACATGCAGGGCAACTTCGTGGATGGAGAGCAGAACGCTGCCTTCACGTTGGGATCTCGGCTCAAGGACATTGCCTCCAACCCCTCGAAGTACTACTTCAACTTCCACTCCATTGCTAGCTGGACACACTGGCAGATTGAGGGGAAGGGTCCGGTCGGAATGTGCCGTGGTGTCATGCAGCTGAGCCAGAGGAGGTTGACGGAGTCGTCGGACAAGGTGGACGATGTGAAAGGCATCTCCCCAGGCGACGTTCTTGTCTAGGAGTCTGCTGTAGTGACGCTGTTACTTTGGGCTATCAAATGTGAAAATCCGAGAATTGCATTGTGTTCTGTACAGTCGCACCTAGAGTGCGGTCGCACTTAGAGTCCGAGTATGCCAGACCCCTGCGAAGACGGGAGTGTAGCTTTTGTACAGTCGACTCTCCTACTCCTTTCGAACCGATGGTAAAGATTCGGTCGGCTTGAGGGAGAGCACCGTAGACATTGTGCACGACTCCTGGTCAGCATGCGAAGGCAAGTGCGAAAGAGCTCGCTTGCTGCTGGCTGCCATCTGCTGCTTGCGCTGACTGCTCTTTTGGGCCAGACATCATCGGACACGTATTATTGTTTACCACAAAAGTTTTCATACGTGCAGTCAAGAAGACTGCGTGAAACTTGAGCACTGCAGTTCTGGCATTTTGTGTGAATGCATGTTGCTGCCGGTGGTTCTCAGGGTTCTGAAATTGTATAGTCTCCACAGGACAAGCATCCTTGCTCGAGTGGTCTCTTGCAAGCATGGCGTTCCGGTCGCTGCTGTTGACCCTTGCTGCCGCACTGCCCATCTCTGACGCCGGTGCCGCCTGCGCCACTGCATGGGTCCAATGTGGCGGCACTGGCTGGGCCGGTCCGACATGCTGCCCTTCTGGCTTCAGCTGCTCGCAGATGAACTCCTGGTACTCGCAGTGCGTGCCTAAGGGTTCCATAGCACCGCCGGAGCAGCCCAAGCCCGTGGCAGAGGATGAGTGCTACCACATGTTCAGTGAGCTCAGCTTCAACACGCTGGTTCAGTCGTTCCCCAGCAATCCTGACAGTGAAGCCACGGCCTACGTGGATTGCAAGCTCTGCAGCCACAGCGGCATGCATTGCACTGCGAATGTCCTTGGCGGTCGGACACAGCTCATCGCGTCGCACATCCACCTGGCCTCTGACGGGGATGGCGTCAACGGCTCGGGCCCCCCAGTGATCAACTTCTGCGGAGAGAACGGCCCTGGCTTCATTGCGGACGGGAGCAAGTACAAGACGCCCTGCGCCCATTATGCCAACCGTGCCGCTTTGATGTCTGACATGCAGGGCAACTTCGTGGATGGAGAGCAGAACGCTGCCTTCACGTTGGGATCTCGGCTCAAGGACATTGCCTCCAACCCCTCGAAGTACTACTTCAACTTCCACTCCATTGCTAGCTGGACACACTGGCAGATTGAGGGGAAGGGTCCGGTCGGAATGTGCCGTGGCGTCATGCAGCTGAGCCAGAGGAGGTTGACGGAGTCGTCGGACAAGGTGGACGATGTGAAAGGCATCTCCCCAGGCGACGTTCTTGTCTAGGAGTCTGCTGTAGTGACGCTGTTACTTTGGGCTATCAAATGTGAAAATCCGAGAATTGCATTGTGTTCTGTACAGTCGCACCTAGAGTGCGGTCGCACTTAGAGTCCGAGTATGCCAGACCCCTGCGAAGACGGGAGTGTAGCTTTTGTACAGTCGACTCTCCTACTCCATTCGAACCGATGGTAAAGATTCGGTCGGCTTGAGGGAGAGCAGCGTAGACATTGTGCACGACTCCTGGTCAGCATGCGAAGGCAAGTGCGAAAGAGCTCGCTTGCTGCTGGCTGCCATCTGCTGCTTGCGCTGACTGCTCTTTTGGGCCAGACATCATCGGACACATGTATTACTGTTTACCACAAAAGTTTTCATACGTGCAGTCAAGAAGACTCCGTGAAACTTGAGCACTGCAATTCTGGCATTTTGTGTGAATGCATGTCGCTGCCGGTGGTTCTCAGGGTTCTGAAATTGTATAGTCTCCACAGGACAAGCATCCTTGCTCGAGTGGTCTCTTGCAAGCATGGCGCTCCGGTCGCTGCTGTTGACCGTTGCTGCCGCACTGCCCATCTCTGACGCCGGTGCCGCCTGCGCCACTGCGTGGGTCCAATGTGGCGGCACTGGCTGGGCCGGTCCGACATGCTGCCCTTCTGGCTTCAGCTGCTCGCAGATGAACTCCTGGTACTCGCAGTGCGTGCCTAAGGGTTCCATAGCACCGCCAGCGCAGCCCAAGCCCGTGGCAGAGGATGAGTGCTACCACATGTTCAGTGAGCTCAGCTTCAACACGCTGGTTCAGTCGTTCCCCAGCAATCCTGACAGTGAAGCCACGGCCTACGTGGATTGCAAGCTCTGCAGCCACAGCGGCATGCATTGCACTGCGAATGTCCTTGGCGGTCGGACACAGCTCATCGCGTCGCACATCCACCTGGCCTCTGACGGGGACGGCGTCAACGGCTCGGGCCCCCCAGTGATCAACTTCTGCGGCGAGAATGGCCCTGGCTTCATTGCGGACGGGAGCAAGTACAAGACGCCCTGCGCTCATTATGCCAACCGTGCCGCTTTGATGTCTGACATGCAGGGCAACTTCGTAGATGGAGAGCAGAACGCTGCCTTCACGTTGGGATCTCGGCTCAAGGACATTGCCTCCAACCCCTCGAAGTACTACTTCAACTTCCACTCCATTGCTAGCTGGACACACTGGCAGATT